ATCCAGCCAAATCTCTGCTGTGTTTCAGCCGTGCAGTCTGTTCCAAGCTAAACCCACTGATCCACACAGACTGTAAAATTCCAATGTGGAAAAGCCACTTCCCATTCACTCCTACTTCATCTCGTCCCTGATCCAAACACAACACTGCAACGGAGCTGTTTTTCCTGTGTTGGGAAATTCTTTGGGTCAACTCGGTTTCTGGAACAGTTTGCTGTCAGCTGCAAGTCGTCTACGCTGACTAACAGTTGAGCAAATGCTGCTGCGTTCAGATGCTTGTGCATCAAAAGGCAATTAATAGCGCAGTGGTTCACAGCAAGAACAGTCATCGAGTTTGTATGTAACGTCTCAAAGACTTTGGGATCTTTAATGTCCAAAATGGCAGATGAGGCCTTGCTTCAAAATCTCATCCGAAGTACAGCACCTCCAACAATACAGCATTGCAGTGTCAGCCTATAACCTATAAAGTGTCGGAGTATAAACACATCACAAGATCACACATTCCTAAGTTTAGTTTGGATGAAGAAGGCTCTTTAGTCATTTGATCTCATCCTTGCAAAATACCTGCCCATCCCTCTTCCTATCACATCATCAGACTGATTTTTTTTAAAAAAAGGAGTCTCAGTGTGCTTATTTCAACCACCTTTCTTGGTAACCCTGCAGCAGTCATTCATCAACCTCTGCATTATGAAACATTTCCTGGTGTCTGTCCTGAAATTCTTCTTCACTGCTGTAAATCTATGTCCTCTTGTTCTACCGTCTTGGTGCATCCAAAAGAATTGGTCACTGTCACAGTGTTGTTCAAAAACTGCCTGACACCTCCAAGGTATGTTGCTGGACCATAATGAAATGACAAAATAACTAAAAATAATCCCGACTTTTAGGAGTATTTCCAGCTATGTTCAGCAGAGTGCCAGCTCCACTGCCACAACCGACCAGATACAGAATCATATTTCAGAGCCAAACACCGTTTTTTGGCTTTCTGAGTCTTTTCTGCATTTGGTCAACTTGAATTGCTGCTTCGAAGATTCCTCAAGCAATTAATTGTGCAACTTTGATTGTTCTCCATTGATCTGCAGTGAACAGAAAACCAGTCTCAGCCTAAAGATTCTTATCGAACTAACCGAGTGAGTTTATCAGGAATAGCTAATGAGCTGCACAGTCAGTTCTTTGATGAAACTGTAAAAGCTTTCGGCAGAACTGCCCAATACATAAGGAGCACGACATTGCAAAGGAGACAGATGTGCTTTTGCGCAGAATAAAGCATTTCTCTCTGTACTGTCCGCGAGAAAGGCAAGTTATTTGAAGTCACCTGTCGTGCATCTGTAAGGCAAATCGATTCTTGATTGACAAGTGTCAGATTTGATTGACAGGTGCCAGATTTGGTTCGAATCGCTGTGGACATTTCTATACGATAGAGTTTAAGTAGTCAAAAGTCTTGGCTCTGCCGAGAGACGCTGAACATAATGTATATTTACCTCCATACAAGAGCTACATTCATCTGCCTTTCCTTATTTAACTCCCTACAATAATAATAGAATAATAATTGTAGGTAAACAACCAAGTCGTTTGCACCCACAAGGTCCTGCCATGAGTTTAAATGACAGGCTCCAGGGATTACAATAAGGAAAATAAATTCTTCCATTTGATATAGTGTTCATCGAGTCATCGAAACATTTCAAAGCTCGACACAGGATTTTACTATCAAGTGTAGGGACTGTATTTGTAGCAGAAATGCGGCAGCCAAATTGCACACAGCAGTGTCCCACAAACAGCCATGAGGTGAATGACCAGTTTTATCTGGGCGATTGTCAGCCAGGGCAATGGAGAGCAAAAAAGTCACTTGAGGACCTACTTTTCCTCTCCCCCACCAAATCGTTTTTAGTTCTTTCCCATTTTGTCTCGAAGCCACTTCCAATTCTCCATGGAAAATAATTCCCTTCACTCAGTAAGCTTATTGGTACATATTTCTTTTATAAGCCTGTTGTCGGCACATTTTGCTCATGAGCTGGGTTGTGGAAGGGGATAATAATAATAATAATAATAATAATAATAATAATAATCTTTGCACTTGATATAGCACCTTATCACGATGTGACTAGGTGGAGAGAGGGAAGAGGAGGGCAGCTTCAGGAAGCGTAACGCACCCTTCAGTTCATTTTGTTCCGTTTTTCATTACCTTCCCTGTTTGTTGCCATTTCAGAGGCAAACCAGAGAACAGGTTTAAACACTGAAGTCTTCCCTTAAAAACCGCCCCTTCCGATCTGATCCCTGTGCTATCGTTGCATCTGTTCAGCCTCCCCATGTCCAGGTCACAGGAGGTGATTGATTTGGAGTTAAAATTGGGGTGAAGATAACATGGTAGAGTGATAATATTTGCTCCCTGATGGATTTGGCACACCTTGTAACCGTCACCTGTTATTTAGGTGGTAGCCTGGCTCCCTTGGTTGCGCTCTTGGTTCTGCGTCAGAAGGTTATGGGTTCACACACCCAGTGATGGTCTCTTGAGTTCACAGCCCAGGTTGATGACAACAACAACAGCAATGTTGAGACGTGCCGCCCTTCTGGTGAGACGTCAAAAACCAAAGTCTTGTTTTGCTGTTCGTGTGGGCATTAAAGATCGAGTGCTGGGCGTTTCACAAAGGAAGGGAATTTCTCCCAGTGTCCCATCCAACAATTCCTGATATGAATTAATCATTCGCCTCTCAGATGTTTGTGGGACATTGCTGCGTGCAAATTGGCTGCTGGGTTCCTCCGACAAACACATAGTCACCACAATTAATGATAATTGCTGATAATTGATGGAATAACGCACGTATGGATCCAATAGTTGCAGGCGGTTTTCTGGCAGTTGGGTTACATCTGCATTTCCTGGAAGTTAAGGGATGAATATCTCTTGAACTGTTGGTGACCTGGTGCTAAGATGCCTTCATAAAGGCTCGAATATTGAGCTGTCTGAAGATTCAGTAATCAGTAAATAAACGTCAAGCTTTCTAATTATATCGCAAGCATTGAGGTTTTTACCACTTGGTTCAACCAGTTAATGATGGGGAAGCCTTTATACAATAATAAACATAACAGTGAAGTATGGCGAGAGATATTAACTGGGCGATGTCGCATTTTAACCCCTCGTCTCTGCTTAGAATGCAGCATTGCTATAGGGAGGATTTATTATTACTATTATTATCCTTGCATTTGATATAGCGCTTTTCACATCTTCTAGACGTCTCAAAGCGCTTCACAGAATATACTGTTTATTTGTGGGCAAAACGCTTATCTGAAATTTATCTGAAAGGGATGTTCAGCAAGAGGCCTGCGCAGCTCTGAGTAAATAGAATTGATGAAACAATGTGAACTCTTATCAAAATGACGCTACAGTTGTATTTCCCCAAGCTGACTGAAAGACCTGATCTACTATGAATTCGAGACATCTGGACAAAAAAAAACATCCTTCGAATGTCACGTTGTGTAATTCGCTTCTACGTGTAAGGTTTCTTGGCCTCAGTTATATTTGGTGAAAGAAATCTAATATCTATGACTTGTGTTATCTATTCATAAACTGTTAAGACGGTTCGAGATAACCGAAGAAAAGTGAAAAGTGAAATAGGAAGAATGTTGTAACAGAAGTAATTAATAATTAGAATAATAATCTCTTTGATACAGTGGTTCTAATGTCGAAACGTCTCAAAATGTTTCACAGGTAGTCGTTCTCAAGTGTGTTTACATTCCCAGCAAATACGACTGAACATTTCGAATTCTGCTTTAATTTGGTTGTGAAAAGAAGTAGCATTACCAAATAGCCCTTAATGACAGTAGCTTTGAGCCAACACTTAGCTAACCACTCAGATGTTTACAGTTCAGCGACTTGAGAGCTGGTTCAACAGAAGTCCCTCGTGAGGCTCTTAGTGCTCAGTTCCTGCCTTGTTTACAGCATGAGGCAGATTAAAAACACTGAAGCCAACACAGAAACAACAGCTCTTATGCGGTCTCTCAAACAGTTCCAAATCCAGCCCTAACTTTCTAACGCAGCACCGACCCCATCTCCTGCTGTTTTGTGGTCAGTTCAGCAGGACAGCACATTGCAGTTAGCGCGGGAGGGGGAAGAGGAAGCGCACCCTCCTGTTATATCGACTGCTTTTGCCTCCTGGGGACAGGTTGAGCAATCATCTGAGGTTTGAGAAACTTGGCAACTTTGGAGCTATTGGCGCTTTTCATTTGCATTGTCGCCCGGTTGCTGGAGGCACCAGAGAGGTCGTGGGTCCAAACCAAAAGTCGGGGATTTCAGCACATGGTCTAGAAACCGGGCATTTGCATGGCTGCTATTTTTGGGGAACGTCGCTGTGTGCAAATCGTCTGCCACATTCGCCCGAAAACCAGAAGTGTTCACCAGCGATTTCCTGAGAAATGATTTGAGACATTACAGGCTTTGTATTGAACACAGGGATTATTATTAATACGGCATATACCTAGTAATAGACGAGGATCAGTGCTAATACAGTTTATACAAAGCATTAAGAGATTTTGCTGGCTTGTCTCCGCAAGCTTTGCATGTGCTATTTCATTAGCCCTTTCCCCACCTCCCTCCCTTTCCACCTCCTTCAGATTCTTGTCTCACTCTCCAGCCACCTGACCGACCGCCCCCACACCCTCGGGGACTTTCCTCAGTTCTTTCTCAGGATGGCTGCATGATGACTCTCGGGAAGATTGTGGGGCAGAGACTTAACTCAGATACTCAGATCACATCCGAGAGCTCCGGCTGTATGGCCTGTCCCATCAGCTGCGCTGATAGAAGATTGTCAAGCTTCGGAGGAACTTTTTTTTAAAAAAAAACCTTTTCTCTTGTATCCAGTTTCCATTCCAGTCCCTCATGTTTTGCCAACCTGTTAAGCAAAGCACCCTGCAGCGAAGTGGGACGTTATTATGGGGCGGACTTTACAAAAGAGAGAGAGAGAGAGAGATTGAGTTGATTTAAACGTGTGCCAACCTGTGCGTTTTTTTTTCAGCAGGTGTCGATTTCTCTCCGCCCAGGAACGAGCGAGTGAAGCAAAGGCGGTAAATGGGTTAACCTAGATTCAGCCTTGAACGCATCCTGCTCATCCTTCCTTTCACCTGAGACTTTGCCAGGTAAGCTGTCTCTACTTAGCAGTGCTTTCAATGTCCGTCCGGGTTTACTTGAAAGACCAGATTCCTGTCTGCACGTTGCATAACAATGGATTTTACCTTGGGAAGGATTCACACGAGAGGGTGTTGTAAAAGGGCCCCCGATAGCAGAGTGCTGTTGAGAAAGGCTGAGCTGAGAGCAGGAGCAGGCCAACAGATTCGAAGCATCGGAGGTTCAGGCGGTAATATGAATGATTTCACCAACGCATCATCATAACCGCACACAAAGTTTTGAGCCATTTACATATTGTTTTTAAAGAAAAAGGCCTGTGTCCTGCTGACTACGACTGCTGCAAAAAGTACTCCAAAGTGTAGTGGCTGTCCTTTGCAGCAGCCAATTTACGCACAGTAATATCCCTCAAACAGCTGCGAAATGAGTGAGCCATTTTATTGGGGGGATTGTTGGGCCAGGAATCTCCATTCTCTTGGAACCGGGATCTTTCGCATCCACCTTATCAGGGACTTCGGTTAAAGTTTCATCTGAAGGATGGCACCTCCAACATTGCAGCAAATCCCCACATCTCCCACCCTCCCCACCCCCCAACCACCCCAGCCCAACATTGAGCATTTAATGGGGGGGGTTCGTACCCTAATACAGGTGACACCGAGTTGCTCCATAAAAGCAGAGTTGGGATGTAGATCACAAGGACCATATGGGGTGTGAGTCAGTGCTTATGATTCGCACTCTGTGATTAATGCTTTGCTGCTCACAATAACACAGAGCAGTCCAGAAAGCTGTCACTCTCAACGTGAACTCACAGTCCTCATTTGAAGATCCGTGGGGGGTGGTGGGGGGGGAGGAGAAGGGGAGGGGGGGGGGGGTGGGTGGAGAAGGAATCCATTGGAAAGGATCTGTGTGAACTGAGGAGCCACAGACGGCCAGAGACCAGAGTCCTCCCCACTTCCATTTCCCATGAGATAACAGGCAATGTTTCACATTTATTTTTAAAATGGTCTACTTCTATTCTAGCTCCCGCCAGCAGACACTGAGCCTGCTGGAGCAGGGCTTTTTTGGCAGGGATTACTGTTCCTACCAACCGAGCACTTTTGCCCCCTCTACACGGACCATGCGCATTGTTATTTTAATCAAGTGAAGAGCCAGAGTGAGCTGAAGTAGGGCAATTTCTATTCACTGCCACTTGGAGAGATCAGGGCAATATCAGTATTTTTTTAAGGTAATAAACCCCAAAATCTACATAGGCTCAGATAATAATTTTAGTGTCAGTCAGAACATCAACTGTACTAATCCCCAAAGGCACCAGTGGTTGAAATAGGATCTTTAGAATGTTTAATGACGGCCCTCGAGAAAAATCTTCACACATTCCTTCAAAACCTACAGTGCAGATAATTCACAATACCCTGTCTCTCGCTGGCTTTACTCGAGCTTTCTTGGGCTCCGGCTCCGAAAACAGAGGTTGTTTTCGAGGCGAACTTCAGCGAGGCAAACGTGGAGAGCCACATATGTTTCCGTTCACGTGGGTTTCCATGTCACACGCATAAAATTGAAGTGAGCACGAATTAATTGCTCGTCTCCACCAGGGATAGTCAGCCCAACTGCACTGTCAGCAGTCAGGTTCAAATAATAATAATAATCCTTGCATTTCATATAGTGCCCAGCAGTAGGTAGGAACCCGGTTGTTTGTCGATTGGCGGATCGCTTTCCGGGAGTAATAATCCCTCCGAAAAATAATAATACTAATAAATTGGTCACTCAATCCACGACTGCTTGTGGGACGCCGCTGTGCGCAATTGGCTGCCGTGTTTCGCCCACAAAATCCACAGTCAATCCACTTTACAGTGTGTCCCGTGAAGGGGTTTTGAGGCGTCTCAAAGGCGCGATGAGGCGCCGCATCACAGGATTATGATTAATATTACTGGCTTATCACATTGTTGAGACGTGAATATTACAGAGTTACAGAATATTTTGTGGGCGAAAATATTTTTTTAAAAATGTTTTGAGGGATTCGGTCCCCGGCACTGTAAGATACACTGCAGATACAGCACAACTTGCAATGCGCCATGTGCCATCGTGGAGGTTCCACAATGGGATCAGAGGTTAGATGCTCGGTGCAGTATTGAGTCCTCTGTGGTTACCATCTCTGTGGTAAAATGCTTCACCAGATCTTCTTCACCAGAGGACAGTGCACCTTTAAGCTTCGTTCCGAACTGAGGGGGAATGGGCACATTTGCATCAGTTGAATCCTACCGAGCACCACATTACTTACATTCCTGACTTGTTGCGTGATAGAAGGATCGATTTGGGTCAAGGGAAGTAAAGACGCGGTGCGGGGGGCAGGTTTCGCCCTAATTACTGTCAGTCTGGATTTCGCTTGTCTCACAGAAATAATAACTCAAAAAAAAGTGGCTTTGAGAGTCCCGAGAAGAGGCGAAATTGCACGTGTGCGGTTGAACTTTTTTTTCCCAGGGAAATAGATTACAAATCCACGTCTAAATTGCCTCAAAAATTTCAGACGCGAGTTAGTTTGATTGGGAACTTCACCAGAGCAGGAAGTGCCTGGTTTGTTTCATGTTTCATTTTGAAAACATTTCAGAGGATTGCGAAGGGGCGGTGGGGGGGCTGGGGGAGTGGGTGGTAGAGGAGTTCAACTCAGCGCAAGTGTTTGAGCCAAAAAAAAACTCATTTAAAAAAAAAATAACGATAATAATTCGGTCACTCAATCCACGTCTGTTTGTGGGCCAATTGGCTGCCGCGTTTCGCTCACAAAATACACAGTCGATTCGCTTTACAGTGTAGCCTGCGAAGCGCTTTGAGACGTCTCGAAGGCGTGATAAGGCGCTGTATCAAATGCAAGGATTATTATTATTATCTTAAATTGTATTCACATAAGGGTTGACGCAATTTGCTATCACAGACTGTGCAGGAGTAGAGAGGAGACTTGAGCTTGTTATCTATCTGTAGTTCTGCTGCTGAGTGTGACTGAGTAAATTTAGATAAGCAATTTTAACTGCAGACAAGAGTCAGGCCCAACGTGACTGCCGCAGTTTAAATAATCTCCTTGTTGAATTCCCCCAGGGCTTAAATTCCTCGCATGCCATCGATGGGAGCTGTAATTTTATATTATGATCACAAGTACACGCATGTTCACTGGGAGCCGTCTCTACGTCGGCTGCTGACAGCAAGGCTCAGATAAATTTAACCAAATAAAAATATAATTAGTAATGGATCTCTCTGAAGAACGCTCTCCTTTAGGTCGAGTTTGAAAATCCCATGACACCAGTTGGATAAAGAAGAGAATTTCCAATGCTTTGGACAACATTCCTTTGGATTAATTGGACATTTATTATAATGATAATAAGAATTCTTGCATTTCGTATAATGCGTTTCACAACAGCAGGACATCTCAAAGTGCTTCACAGGATTTTTTTTTACTGTGGCTGCTTTCTGTGGGAAATTCAATGAGAAATTCCATGCGAGATCTGGTGTTTGTTTAAGTATAATCAATAATCTTCAATAAGGTCAATGGGTTCACTCTATATATGTTCACCGTATCTTTTATATCTTACAAAACAGCTTCCTTTTCTACTAATTGCAGAAGCTACAATTGTTTGGGCAATGTGTATGGGTTTTTTAAAAAAAAGGTAATCCTTTCTTTCAGTTGTGAATGACTCGTTGCAGTTTACAATGCGTTTTCCTAAAATAATCTGAAGTGATTATTTTCCTAAGTGGTCTGAGTAATTGTGCTAGTGACTGCAGATGAGAGATGAGTCTGCAATGATTGACTTTCCTCTGTCATTTCCTTGTAGATTACGGGACTTTCCACTGACCACCTAAACCTTTTCTAAGAGTCCCAAAAAACAGGCTTTGGTTTAATTTGTGGCTTTTCTTGAACGTTAAACAAAATAATCCATGCGTTTGAGACTCCAAAGTGCTTTGCAGGCTTTTACTGTAAAGTGACTGTGTGACGGTAGTATTTTATAGCCTCAGTGAAAGGGATGATTGAGTCAAATGCCTTTAGGAGATGCAGATACGAAGCATTGCAATGTAAAAGTGCCCATTTAGAGTCTGCGACTTTTTCCCGTGTGTTTACAAAGGCTCGGCAGAATCTGAAGTACTTTGAGATGAATCAGACCGATTCCTTGTTGGATCTCAGTTGTGGTATGTAGAGAAGTTGTTTCTTGTTAGGAAATAATCCTGTTTCTGTTTAGGACGTAATATTGTGTGACACAGTGAATAGTTTGGGACATGATGTGCAAGCGACTGACTGCCAGGCCGGTGGAAGGCAAACTGGATGCATCTTGGCCTTTCTTATTTAACACAGTCTTATGGTCTTATGTTAAGATTAGTGGACAGGCTCAGTAGCTTTCAGTGTGATATATATTTTGATCACTTGTTTATCTCTCTCTCTGTTACTCATGGAACTTCACTTCGGTATAAGGTCGGCAGTTCCACTTGTAGCAGTGGGTTCTATGAAATTACCTAAATAGTGAGGGTTTGTGGAGAGTCTGGGCTGTGTCCCCGAAACGAGAATCCAGATTTAGCCGGGAATACGGGTGCTTCGTTTTGGGGCCTGATCCCGAAAAGCATTCTCCAGTAGTTAATATAATCTACTAATCTTGCTGCCTTCTCCCACTTACGCAAATATTCTTTGGGTTAAAGTTGATTTCCCAGGGAGGGATATTTTTAGATTTCATCATACAAAGAGTAGTTGATGAGTTCCTCACTATCCCCCCTCCTGAAATAACCTTGGAAGCAATTGACTCCCAATCTCATGATCTGGCTTGTTCTTTGTTTCTGGTAATGGCTCCAGTATCTACCCATTTAGAGTTAGTGACTCGTTCCCATGGGGTTTACAAAGGTTGGGCTGAATCTGAAGTGCTTTGAGTCGAATCAGATCCGTTCCTTGTTGGATCCAGGCTCTACGTCCAAATATCGCGGGAACCTGACTCCTGGGAAATCCCACTGGAAGCGCACGCTGTGCCAAGGTTGGCAACTTTTGAGGCAG